AAGAAACATTCTGAAGAGCAGGGATTCTGTTATTCATCTCTCTATCCTGAAAGGCCACAGCAAACATTTGCTTATTGCTGTTAAATTATTCTTGACAATATGAGTCCATATTAATAACCTAAAAATATCTTCTTGGATCATTATTATCATATAAGTATTTGTTAATATTTTCTATATTAATATAATTTACACATTTTATAATAATTTATTGTATGGTATTATCCGTGTTACTGATAGCATGCTTTTTCAAGACAAGGCTAAATATAAACTCCTATGAAATAACAACTGAAGATTTCTAAATTTATGATTGGTCTTTAGATGCTCCCTAACTTCACATAACTGTAATATATTATTCTTTATTTTCACCTAGCACACACAACTATATCATGTCCATAGACTATTTCAAGAGGTTAAGCAAATACTATACTAAAATCAAGATAACTTAAAACTATGCCATTCTTTTATTCTATTAATCTAGTAAAAACTCTAATGAAACGAAAATTCTGGGTATACTTTAGCAGTTTTCTTCTGGTTCCGAGTCATCACTGCCTTCTTTTATGATAACTCAAAACAGTTCTCTCCGACTCCCCACTAATGAAAATTCTGCCATTTGCAACAACATGGATAAACCTGGAGGACATTATGCTAAGTGAAATAAACCAGTCACAGAAAAACAAATGCTGCATATCTCCATTTATATGAAGTATCTATAACAGTCAAACTCATAAAATCAGAGAATACAATCGTGGTTTCTAGGAGCTGAGATGTGGGAGAAACAGGGAGTTGTTCACTGTGTATAAATTTTCAGTTATGCTAGATGAATATGTTCGAAAGATCTGCCATACAACATAGAGTGTATAGTTAACACAATGGACTTCAAAATTTGTTTGGAGGGTATGCTTCATTTTAAGTATTCTTACTAGAAAAACAAACAACATAAATGGACACAAGAAAACTTAGGGCGGTCATGAATATATCAGTTACCTCGATTGTGGTGATGGCATCAAGGATGTTTACATATGTCCAAACTCATCAAATTATACATATTTAAATATGTTCTGTATATCAATTCTACTTCCATAAAATGGTTTAAAACAAAAATGTCCTTTGTTCCCCTTAAACTGTTTTGGTATTTTGCTTCATCTCTAAGATAGGCTAAGGCTATTGATGCAGCCAGGTTGTTTGGAAGTTCTTTACAAGTAACGATCGTGGGCATTCAAACACACAGGTGTTGTTAACAGGGCAGAACAGGAAGCAGTAGCATTAAACGCACGTGTCAGGGTCAGACTTCAGTAGGAACTGTTCACATGTAATCAATTAGAGCCCCACACCTGCTGCAAAAGTTACAAAGATTGGTCAAGAGGTCATGGAGCTTCTATGACGGGGTCTAATATTAAGTCGAACGGACTTGTGAGAGGCAAGGAACATAGAAAAAATAGTCAACTGGCCAATGCAAAGAGTCAGAAATGCAAAAGGATATGGAACCTGAACTCTCTTAACACAGGTAAAATTGGGAAATATATTAAAATAGATAAGTGGGATTTTACAAAAGATAACTGGGAAGCTATCATTTCTGGGCTTGCAAAATCAGCAATAGTTTGGATTGTTCAGGAGCTGACAATTATGTACTGTACATTTCCATAAACTTCTTTAATGAAGTTTATAGAACTGACTCAGAGTTAGGGATGGTTGACCTCTGCAGGAGACGGCAAAGTGAGGAGAAAGAAGAAAGCACATGTCAGGTAGCAAGTTACTGGGTGCCTCACTTAAACCTACTGGATATATTCTGACAATCTCCAAATATACTGTGATTTCAGTCCTCCTTAACTATATCTACTTTTTAAAACTTATTTTTTTTCTCTGACAAGATACACAAGAAACTTTTTTAAATGAGGCCCAAGGTCCTCCACAGAGTACCTGTGTATCACTGCTGGTTACTCAGGGCCCAGGGGCTCTTCAGTTAACAGGTGATGAATGCTGCCGGGACGAAATCCTTTCCTTCAATGCAATGGGTTTCCTTCTGGCCCAGTGTGTGTCTAGAAATGTCTGGGAGCTATGGCCTAGAACAGAGGCTTACCGACTCTGACTGTTGCCCTTGCTGTGGCTGAGCTGATATCCAAGACGCAACACAAAGTCCTCCCCACTCTTTCATTTTCCTCAGGTGGAAGGAAGGGGTCTTTTTTGGAGTCACTAGCTGTGCAGTCTGAGGTTAGGGGAGGGATGATGCCAGCACTCCCTTGACTGCCCTCGCTGGTGTCTCTGTATGTCATGTGTCCCCACAGGGCCACTGTCTCTGGGCCTACTTTAGTACTAGGCATTGCCTAAGAGTTGCAGTCCTTACAGCCTTCAGGTGTACCTGGAGACGCAGGGTGCTGTAGCCCTCGGTGGCAAGGTTTGCTGGCACTCAAGTTCTGACTGCTGGAATCAGAGGTTCCCCGCTGGCTAGGGCTGGTTTAAATGCTCCTTCTATGGGCAGACATCAGCTGTTGGTCCACCTTTCCTTTCTGCTCTAACAGGACAAGCACTGAGTTCAGTGCCTCAAATTGCTGTGTTCTCCTTCCCCCAGTGCCCAGAGATGCTCTCCTGGTCAGGCTGCAGCTGCTGGGGGAGGGGTAGGTGTGGTGTCCATGATTCAAGACTGCTTTTTCTCTCTTCAGTGCCTCTTTCAGGATATGCAGTTAAAGCCCAGAACTGTAAGTGTTCACCTTATTTTTGGTTCTTATGAGGTAGTTTTTTTGTGTGTGGATAGTTGTTAAATTGCTGTCCTTGTTGGGGGAATGACAGTTGGAGCTTTCTATTCTTCCATCTTCCTCTTCCCTCCCCAATTCACTGTTGTATGCATACATTTGAAACTGTGATAACCAAAAGTTACTTAAAAATTGCAAGTAAGTCTTTAGTAGGACTTCACCATTATGAGTGAACTCTATTGCTGTAGACAAAAAGTGCTGACAAGAAAGTGGCAGAAAAACATTTTCTATTCCATTAAAAAATTTCAAAATGTAATTCTATCACTTTTTTACATGACTCTAATTAAGTAATAAGCAAGTAGTAAGCATGTGAAAACTGCCAGTAGCAAAAATAGAGATCATTTTACTATTACTTATCATTAGTATCACACTCAAAATATCTTGGTACTATGAGGCAAAGTACTACAAAAAATATGAACTTTTGACTTTATATTTACCTGTTGTCCCATGACCTGCAGTGGAAGCATAGAAACCACAGCAGACATTTTAGTGATAGGGAAAGCACCATGCGCTTAAAAGAAGTTTAGATGCAACTGGCAATTTGGGAAAGACAAAGGCTTTTTATTTTACTTATTTCATGTTGTGAACCCGGTTAAGTCGCTTTATTTATCCACCATTTATTGAACAATCTATGCATGTATAAGTAATAAGTATAAATACGGACTCTGATCTAATTTAAATTGCTCAATAAATGTCAAGTATAATCTTTATAATTTTTCTCCAGTGCTTCTGTTCTTTGAATCTAGTCTGTGTTTGTACATGATTTGGTTTTAGGAAGATGGTATTTCCTGAAGATATTAGTGTTAGCTCATGTATTGTTTTTTTTATTTCTTATGGCTAAGTCAAATGTTTCATCTGTACTACTAGAAAATCATCATTGACATCTATATTGAAAAGCCACAGAGTGACCATGAAAAACGTTATTAAAGTCTCCAAATTGTAGCTTCTGCATCTATAAAATGGAATTAATATTCTGGTAACCCATAGTGCTGTGGGGGAAAGAAATCATTTAACATTTATGAAAGTGCCTGGACAGTTCTAAGCATGTGGTAAACATGAAATAAATAAAAATATCATCTTGCTTTTCATTCTAATCTAAATAAGAATGATACCTTTGTTTGCTGATACTTCAATAATCTCTTATACTACCTTTCAGATCTCTTTCTTTTGAACAAAGAACAGTCATCACAGTGTCCTATGCTCAGACCTTATTAGTTTTCTTCCAAACTCTTATCCTGAAGCTACAGAGATACCCATATTTTTTCCTGCTTTGGTTTTGCTTGCCGCTGAGGAAGTGCTGTTAAAAACTCTGGTTTGAAGGTCAGTGCAAAATACATCAAGACACAGAGCATCATGCAAGATTGCCGTTCTGCAGTCCAGGGCTTCCTACAGGCCTGGAGGGCTCTGGACCACATCAGGACAAACCGGAGTACTTAGCACATGCTGGGCACCCATCAGTGTTTCTGGAATGAATACATTTGATATTTATTATTTCTTACTCTGAATTCTCCTCACTAGGAAACTCAAATCCTTCTTGAATGTGGAGTACAAATGGTTTGTATTAACCATTCAGTTACTTTTTAGAGCCATGATTTCTATGTTTTTAAAGCAGTGCCAGTAGTCAAGGTACTCACTTAAGGGAAATCTAGTCTAGAATAGTGTGGATACGTCACCGTTTGTATTTTATGTGAATTTTTTCTTTCACATTAATTGTTGTGACTTCACTGATACGAAAAAAGAGGTAAAGGTAGGAGGGAAGCCATGAGTAGCTTAAATAATAGATGAAAGGTGAGACAGGCTTTATCTCCTTGATTATTTATTTATCGCATGCCTAACTTTGGGCAAATATCCAACCACGATTATACTCAGTTACCTAACAGTAAAATAGGTACATTCGCATTTGCTCTACTGAAAGAGTTGAGAGGATTACAAACAAGGCATGAGAAGTTCTTAGAACATTCAGTCAAAGTTATCAGTACAGTTCTTTGGGTGTTCAGGAATTGAGCAGTACCAGTATACACTCTTAACAGCATAGAATACAAACAGAGATAGTTCTGAGATATATCTGTGTATCCCATATTTCAGGGATCCCAGGGTCTTTTACTGCTAACATAGATGAGGACCAGGCAGGGAACTGCAACTACCTGGTTGAAAAAAAGTTGAATTTTGTTTCACATTTTATTGTGTTAGTGGTATAATAAATACCTAACTCAAATTTTCTTTTTCTCTTTCTACATAAAATTTCCAGAGAAAATGGTAGAAGGAAATTATTCCGCAGTGACTGAGTTTATCCTCGCTGGGCTAACAGACAAACCAGAGCTTCAGCTGCCTCTTTTCCTCCTCTTCCTGGGAATCTATGTGGTCACAGTGGTGGGCAACCTGGGAATGATAACACTGATTGGGCTCAGTTCTCACCTGCACACTCCCATGTACTATTTTCTCAGCAGTCTGTCTTTCATTGATCTCTGCCATTCCTCTGTCATTACCCCAAAAATGCTGATGAATTTTGTGTCAGAAAGGAATGTTATCTCCTACACAGCATGCATGACTCAGCTCTACTTCTTCCTTGTTCTTGTGATATCAGAATGTCACATGTTGGCTGCAATGGCTTATGATCGCTACGTTGCCATATGTAACCCACTGCTTTACAATGCTGCAATGTCTTATCAGGTCTGCTCCTGGATGGTGGTTGGGGTGTATTTCATGGGTTTGATTGGCGCCACAGCTCACACAGTCTGCATGCGAAGAGTGCTTTTCTGTAAGGCTGATGTAATCAACCATTACTTCTGTGATCTTTTCCCACTGCTGGGGCTCTCCTGCTCCAGTACTTCTATCAATGAAATAGTAGTTTTGTGCTTCAGTGCATTTAATATCCTCTTCCCCAGCCTCACCATCCTTAGCTCTTATATCTTCATCATTGCCAGCATCCTCCGTATTCACTCCACTGAGGGCAGGTCTAAGGCCTTCAGCACTTGCAGCTCCCACATCTCAGCTGTTGCTGTTTTCTTTGGGTCTGCAGCATTCATGTACCTGCAGCCATCATCTGTCAGCTCAATGGACCAGGGGAAAGTGTCATCTGTGTTTTATACTACTGTTGTGCCCATGCTGAACCCCCTTATCCACAGCCTGAGGAATAAGGATGTCAAAGTTGCCTTAAATAAGTTCCTTGAAAAAAGATGTTTCTTGTAAAGGGGGGTATTTTGCTTTAGCAAAAAATTTTAATTTCTGGAAAAGGTTGATAAGGAAACAATCTAGAGACAGCAAGGTATGTTCAGGCTGCTACTACTTGGTTATTTGGAAGAAAGATGCCAAAGGTCAGGCTGAATTTGTAGAATCAGTAAGATATGGACACCATTTATGGGATGCAACAGAGTTCATCCACCCAGAGTAACATGTATCACTTCTAAAGATTTTTAAAAATTTTCAAAAGTCTCCATGTGAGTGATTATACTTTATATGTATGGAATATGGCACTTTTTTAGGCAAGACTATTTATGTTACTTTAGGGAATAATTATATCTTGTCAGTCCCTATGATATTTTCAATACCTGTGTACCTGAGCTTTTTTACTAAGTGTATAGGTAAACGCTTCTGGAAGTGTTATCTCTAAAATGAATAATTGCAACCATTTGAATACAAAATTCAATCACTAATTCTTTCTAAGTGTGTGGAAATATATTAGCGAATATGGAGGCATATGATGGGTAATAAAACAGTTTCTACCCATAAGGAGATGATACTTAACGGAAGAGATTGACAGTAACAAACACTACTAAATACATTTTGTGTATTTTGACATATATTTGTGTAACATTTCTTGCACCACAGTTTTGGGACTATGCTACTACTTCCATTTTCCTAATAATCCTGTACTAATTTTCCTTTATCCCAGAGATATAATGCATTTTCCTCCACATACACTATAGAATTCCAGAATTTAAAATGACATTCTTTTATTATTGCAATTGTATGGGTTATCTCTTCACAAAGAAAAGTTAAAACAGGAAAATCATTTTCTGAATAATGACAAGTACCCCTTTTACCCAAAATGTACTGTATACTCTGGGTAAAAACATTTTTTTTGAGGGGGAAAGGAGACTTTCAACCTATAAATTTCTTCTTCTATCTTTCACTTAATTAAGCTTAAGATTTTAAGAGCAGCAACCAGAAACCTCGGAAGTCCTTCTGGGAGGTAATTGTTCCCATAAGTGAGTCTCAGTTGGTCTTGGTGGAACAGTCCGTGGCTCAGCTCCCATATTCTCTCTTGTCTGTGGTAGCAGCCCGTAGATATTTTTTCTCGTGTCTCCCTAGAATAGCTCCTCAGAGTCTTGGAATCAGATATTTCAGTTTGATTCTAGAGCTACTGTTAGAGGACAGTGTGGTTGTGTTCTTTCTGACGCCTCTGAGCTTCAAGGCCTTCAAAAAAAAGTTGCATTAAGATCACTGTGGACATCTCCAGGGCTCTCCACTGTTCACCTCTATTATGCTGTGCCCAGAAGCAGAGCACAGGGACACTAATTTGTCTCTAATTCTGAATAAAAATCACCTGGTTAAATCACATTTTACAAATCTTCTGTTGAATCGGACACGCATAAAATAGCACTTGCTTTGTCATCTGCTTGCCTCCAAGTATGTAACATGAACACTCCAATGTGATGTCACCTTCTTCTCATCATAAACTCAAGTCTTCTAATGAGACAGAGGTTATTCCACTCTTTGAATCATACAGGAAACTTCCTTCCTGATTTTCTGTGTACTAATCAGTCCTTATCTTTATACTTCATGTTTTTATCCTAAAAAATATCTGTGTGTACATCTAGTAATATACATGTGTATGCTTATGTATAGCACAGATGTATGTGTGTGTATTGTATATCAATATGCATTTATATTGCTTATATATGTTTTTAAAAGTGTATAGGCTGGGCACAGTGGCTCATGCCTGTAATCCCAGCACTTTGGAAGGCCGAGGTGGGTGGATCACGAGGTCAAGAGATCGAGACCATCCTGGCCAACATAGTGAAACCCTGTTTCTACTAAAAAATACAAAAATTAGCTGGGCATGGTAGTCCCAGCTACTCGGGAGGCTGAGGCAGGAGAATTGCTTGAACCCAGGAGGCAGAGATTGCAGTGAGCTGAGATCACACTACTGCACTCCAGCCTGGGCAACAGAGTGAGACTCTGTCTCAAAAGAAAAAAAAAATGTGTATGCATATGTCTTTTTATTTAATTATTCTAGGTATTAAAAAACATCTGGTAATTTTTGTTCATATTGATAGGTAATAGGTAAAAATGACAGTTTATGATTTTTCTGTTTCTAAGCATTTATTTGTATATTAACTATTAAAATACATTTGTAATGATAAAATATGTCTGAACCATTTCTAGTGAATCTGACAACTGAGAGAAAATATGGTTTTCAAGTGTTAGGATAGATATCCAGTAGATTCCAAACTGGATATAAAACATTACCACAAAAAAGAAGGATGAAGCACTGTGATAAACTCGGATGTTGTTCTCAGAGTTTAGTTTGTCTTTTATTTCTCTGATACAACCATGTATTCATTTTCAAAAGAAAACAATTTCTCATGTGCACTTACCACTTTCAGGAGCCATGAGTATGTCACAGAAGTAGAGTTTAGGCAGAATTATTTTTATGTTCTCCATTAGTTATGGTTAGGCTTGGCTGCATCACATCACACACATACATGTACACACACACACATCCATGGTGTGTGTGTGTGTGTGTGTGTGTGTGTGTGTACGTGTGTGAACATGTATGTGTGTGATGCCTTAAACCAGAAGATGATTCAGGAGTGGTATAGTAGCTCATCACAGATACGAGGTTCTTATAAATTGTTGCCTTCCTGGTGACAACATGCAGTGTTCATCTTTGGTCCCAAATAGCTGCTCCAGATCCATCCTTCATCTCCACCACCCAGCCATCACGCAGAAATATATGGAAAGAGAAGGGGAATGCTCCTTAAGTTGAAGAACACTGCCTGGAAGTGATACACCTCACCTCCACCTCTTTTCCCTTTGGTAAAGACTTAGTCACATGGACAAACCTTACTGCCGAGGAATTGAGAAGTGCTATCGTGATTTATATGGCCTTGTGCCAAACTAAGATTCAGGACATTTATTCCTGAAGAAAGAAGGGAGAATGAATAACAGGCTTTTTCTCACACTTTCCTCTATTTGTATTAAGTCATAGGTGACTCTATTGTTCTCTCTAGAGTTTCATATTTGGATTTAGTATTCCGTGTAAGAATAGTGTTAATTGTGATTAAAATAAAATGTGTAGTACATACATAAAATATACTAACATTTTAATAACGATTAAGGTCTTCTTGGAAGGTATGTGTAATGCTGGGTAGAGTAGTTCCTGTAGTATCTTGGCAATTCTGGGCTCATTCCTATTCCCTTCCCTTCATTCATGCTGCTTCCCCATCCTGAAGTGGGTTCTTGACTTCATCCTGACTTTCCAAATTTAAGCACCTTTCACTGACAAAACAAGTGTTTCATTCATATGCATTTCTCACCACTCCAGGCTATAATCAGGCACATCTACGGCTCATCATACATACTATAACAATGATATATTCTCTGGTATGGTTTACTGATAATGAATGCTTGTATTATATCTATAAAGATTATTAAACTCTTGAGGAAAATAATTGTGTCTTGCATCACATCATGTCATATTTATTATTCTATGGTTTTCTAAGTGTTGACAAGCAACATGTTTTCACAGCTTGTGATTAATTCTATTACTAAGATTTTATCCTTTTTACAGCAATTTGCAAAAGAACTTCAAAAAGTAGATTAAAGCTCCACATCTAACAATAGTTTAATGAATTTCAAAGTTAATTTAATTAAGAAAATTTATGACAATTGCTGTTTCAAAAATGATATTGTTACAGGATCTTTGGGGTATTGCTTTTCTGGCCAGACATCTCTGTGGCCAGTAGCACCTTTGCCTGAGTTTTGCTCAGGCCTTCTAGGCTTTTTCTGCCCACTAAGCCAGGCAGGCTGTGCTAGGCTAACACTGCTGGCCTGGATTCCACGCCTCCAAGGGAGACTGTGAGTCAGGTGTGAAGCGGCAAGGGGTGTGTGAGTGTGTGGGGTCTAGCCACCACACACAGTCAGATACACCAGCTGCTGATGCAGGATGGGCAGCTCCAGGTGCTGACACTCTCTGCAAGGCTGCAGCTGGTCTAGGTGCACGGCAAGGGCTCTTCCCCGGCTGACACCAGGGAAAGCAGTGGCACCCAAAAGCTTGAAGACACCAGGAACTGCAGGGCCCCAAAGAAGGAGTCACAGTGCTATCTGGGAGCTCCTAGGTTTGGGATCCTCAAAGGGCAGCAGCTCTTCTTTCCTTCTGTTCACCCACAACATGGTGAGCAAAGGGCTTGTTTCAGCCCTGTTTCTCTTACAGCTCTTTTAGCCTTGCCATTCAGTGGGTCCCAAGTTCTCATCCGGAGATCAGAAAGAATGAGGCATGCAGACAAATGGAAGTTTAGCAAGACACAGAGAAGCTTTATTGCACAATAGAATAGCTCAGAGGAGACCAGCAAAGGGCATCTCCTCTCCATGGCAGGGTGTCCCAATGAGTGTCAAGCTCTCAGCAGAGAGGGTAACTCCTCTCTGCTAGGCAGGTCATCCTGTCAAGTGTCCAGCTCTTATCAGAGAGGCTGCTCCTCTTTGCAGCTGGTCATCCTATCATCTCCTCGGTTCTCAGCAGACAGGAGACCCTAGGGGTGGGCAGCTCCTCTCTGCAGCTGGTCAACCCATCATCTCCCTTTAGTCTCTCCATCCTCTCTTCTACTCCAATTTGGCTGAGTCTCGGTTTTTAACGGGTTTGAGAGGGGAGAAAGTTTGTACTGATTAGTCCATGAGTGGCCATGGGCAGGCCTAGGGAAAATCACCGTAAGTTCCCCCTCTGGCCTATGGGACTGGTGACCCCATCCCCAAGCTTCAGGTCCTCTCCAGCTTGGAGGTGGGGCTTCACGAGGGACCCCTCACCTTCTGCCCAGGAGCCTGTCTGCCTCTTGCTGCTGGTCATGACACCCAGGCTGTTCATGCCAAGGGGCACCTGCAGATCAGTGCCAGGCTGTCCTCAGCACCCCTCGGCCTCCCTCTCATGCTGGTTGGTGCCCAAAATTTAGGAGGGGCTGAGGTTTCAGGGACAGGCATGTCAGTGCTGTCCTGAGCATGTGGACCCCCTGCTGGGCTGCAAAAATGCCTGGGCTTGGTCCTGACTAAGAGCTGGCACCAGCAGCAGGGAGACGCCAGGCAGAGGAGCAGGCACTCTCAAGTCCGTGGAGGGTCAGGAGGGCCCGTGCCCCCAAGTCTGCAGAGATGCCTGGGCCTGCAGCCACAGCAGATGAGGCAGGATGACTGCAGCTGTACTCAGGGAGTTCCCAATCTGCCAGCTTGGAAGGGGCGGGACTCCTGTTTGTCCCTGGCCCTGGAGCGTGCAGCCCCAGCCATGCCTCTCTGAAGCCTGGGTTGGGGGATCTAGGCCCTCATTGGGACTGGGATGGCATCCAGGGGAGGGATGACATCAAGGCAGTTCTTCCCGTAGCCCTAGTGCTAAGGGGAAGCCCACGGCTCCACTTGGCCAGCTTCTGACCCTGCCTCAGGGGCACCTCTTGGAGCCAATCTCAGTCCCTGGGACTGGAGGTCAGGAGTGTCAGGCTTGGTGGTCACCCAGATGTGGGGCAGACCCCTGGGACTCGATCCTCAGTGCAGAGCCTACTCTCCGGGCACAGAAACCTGGCATCGTCAGCAAGGTGGACATGGTGGCCACACCACTGGCCAGGTCCCAGAAGCGGTTGCTGCCTCTGGCCTGTCCTCCGCACTCCATGTTCAAGCACGGCATCAAACGGGGCCCAGCTCTGCCTTGGGGCCATCTCTGCCTGGCCTCCATGCACAACCGCAGTGCTCCCCGACCAGGCAACTCAGCCCAGCGCCTTCACAGTGGCTCCCACCACGGCAGGCTCCAGGCAGCTCCCAGGGGAAGGCTCCGGAGACTGCCTCCTCCCGAGCCCCTCCCCACAGCAGCAGCAGCAGGCAAAAGCGGTGACACAGGGCCAGGGTCAGAAGCTGCAGAATCTCTAAGCCTGGAGGCGGGTCTTACTTGGTCACGTGAAGGTGGGGGCGGCTCAGTTGGCTGCCTCTGAGACGTGGGGAACAGGAGTCCCACCACTATTACTGCTGTCCCCACAGCCACCACCGCTCCTGCCACCACCTCTGGCCTCCCCGCTGCAGCTGGCACCATGGTAGCAGCGGTTCTGGATGGCCTGCTGCTGCCATCAACTTAACATTTAATAAAGCATGAAATATAATTTTACTTCTAAAAATAATTTAGTTTTATATAAGTACAAAAATAATTTCTATAACACACATGTCTTTATTGTTCCTCAATATTGCTCTTATTTTTTGAAGAAAAAAATTTTCTCTTGTTAGTCATCATCACTCCTTGTTAGGCTTACTAGGAACTCCTCAGGGTCTTTGGCAATATCTATCATACTTTAACTTGGGGGCTGAATGAAAGCATTTTCTTCTCCATTGGTCTGAAGAGAAGCAGCCCCCAAACTAAAACATTTCAAGCATTACTGCTTTATAAATGCATCGCGATATCAAAATATTGTTAGTAGAGGTAAATGAAAATGAAAACTTTCAAATTTTAGAAACATTTGTTGTTATTTCTGATTTTCTATTTTCCCTTCATGACAAATCACTTTGGACAATTCCTTTAGTTTATATTTTTAAAATTTGCTGAAATTTTAAAATTTTCATTGTCTCACTAAAGAGATGACACTCACTAGAGCTCCAACAAAGTCTCTCACATCCTTGATTCCAATCCTTACTGTAACAAGAACAATGAATCACAACATGTGGCAAAGGGGAAACACTTGAGAACCAGTGGGGGACAGGGAAATTCTAATTGTTTCTTTTCCCAAGAGTTAACATTTGTGGGAACAGAATCTAGAGGGAGGTCATTATCATTGCTTATTCCTAATCAGACTCTTACTCTTACCCAGCACATAAAATCCTCACATCAGCCACCCTTTGCAGAGTTCCAGATGGCTGTAGGCATCAGCTTTGCCAGAGACCAGGATGAATGACTCAAAATAATTGCCGGGGTGACTTTTGGGCTATGACCTCCTCATATCATCAGATTCATTTTTTCCTCCAGAGCAATGGAGAAGAAAAATGTGCAACACTGAACTCTGGCAGAAAGGAAGGGTATGTCTGAATTCCAGTCTTTGACCTTAAAGTCTTGGAGTCTCCTGCTCTAGCCTCTCTGGTAGTGCCAAGAGATATGCACACAGCTATTCATCTGTCTCTGTCCGTCCTTACTCTCACATTCACACACTTTGTTGAACAGTGGTTCCCTTGTCATCTGCTTGTTCTCTGCAGTATACATTTATGGCAAACACATCTGTGTTCACTTGTTTCAACTCAGGCAGTATGAGGGTTTTGTTCAGTTATTTTGAATCCATGTTAACTTATCTCTAAGCTTCTTTCAGCAGTTTAATTGAACATATATTTATTGAGTTGCTATATGCAAGGTACTGTGCCAACCACTATATTGAATTTACAGTCTAGTACAGAAGAAAAGCAAGTAAATAAGTAATAATAACAGAATGAAATTAGTGTTACATGCAAACATAAAAAACATGTATGGACACAGAAAATGACTTTATACGGTGGAGTTTGCACTATTAAAGCCCTTAACTAAACATCCTTAACTATTAAATAGGATGTCATAAGAGACAGGTGATAGAGAGAAGAGAAAAATTAAAGGAACGTCATGTTCCTTTAAATGAGAGAGTACCAAGTGTTAAAACTGAGAGAGTACCAAATCGTCAAATCATGCAATAGCTAAATTATGTAATACTTGTTGGGACATAAAAGAAGAAAACTTTTATTTTGGTTGCCAGATGATAGCAATCTTTGAATGGCATAGATATTGATTTGAGCTTCCTATGAGGAAATAGAAAATATTGATGATTTAAAGAGGCTACTGTTTAGTAAAAAATAATTCTGAATCTCTGTGTTAATATGTGTATTCATGCAGGAAGGAGAAAACACAAGGTATGAGGAAGGAGGAAAAAACCTTCAGCCATCATCATCGGAATAAAAATTTGGGCAAATAAAAGGTATTTCAAAAAAGGCTCAATAGATTACAATTAAAACAACACTGATATTTATTAAGTTCTTATCAACAGACAAGAACTATGCATGATTTGACTTTTACACGAGAATCATATTAACATTTCTATTTTTTAGAGGCTTGAAGATGGGAAGTAATTTTCCCAAGATCACACAGCATGTGTGGGGTTGAGATGATATTTTAACCCAGACCGCCTAATCTAATATTAGAGCCCATTAGAATTATAAAATCATGAAATATAGGAAGCAGAAGAGATATTAAAGATGATGAATTCAAGCACCCATCTCATGCTGTGTCCTTGAATAATGTCTCCTAAATGGTTATACAGGCTGCACTCTGACATTTCTGGCTGTAAGTAAATTAAGGTGTGTCTGACTTTGAAAATGTTCTTTTTTGTTGTAAAACCAAATATTTCTCTCCATCATTTGAAGCACTTAGTTTCAATTTTTTCTCTCTTAGAGACATATGCAATGAGTCCCGTACATCTTAAATATAGCAATATTTTGAACATCTGGACATAAATGCCATGTGCCACATATATTTATACTGTGCTAGCTAAAAATCCTCAGTCATGTCAATAATTTTTCAAACGACAATATTTCAGATCGTTTCTGATATTGTCCAGTTTTTCTACATTTCACATAAAATATTGAACCCCAAACTGAAAACACTAATCCAGCTGTTGCTTGAGTGTTACATAAGACCATAAATTTCTTTCATCTAGAATTTACAAATTTTCTTTGCAAAGGTAAAGCTGTATTAGCCTTTTTTGAAAAACCACATCACCCTGTTGGCTAATTTTGAATTTAGACTAAAATTGTGAATTGTAGTCTAAATTGCATTGTAGTCTATTTTGCTCTATTAATCAACACAGCCATTGTCTTTAAATTTTATAGAGCACAGAGGCAAAATATATGATTGTAAAAATAACCAGTACTGAAGACATCTAGTGTTTGTCTTCCAAAAGCCTTCTTGGTTTTGGAGAATATCGGTACTTTTCTGATCTTCTCCAATTCAGCCTTGAAGTACACTTAATGTAGACAAATCACAGTTTTCTGCCCCCACCCAGCCAGAATGGGATAATACATGACCTGAATTGACACCATTATATTACTCCCTTGGGATTATTCAAATTAGAACAAGAGAGGCCAGTCCCTCACTGTTGGAAAAGTTCCTGAGATAGAAGGATGCAATCGGCCAAGTAGTTATATTCCTATCTTGCAGAATAGCAGGTCTGGAAGAAAGTTGAGAAATAAAGAGCTAAAGATACAGGCTGAATAATGCTGATCCTTACCCAGTTCTTCAGGCATTTTTAGTTGAAATTCTTATAAGAAAAGTAATTCAGACCAATATAACTAATTTTATAAATTCACCCCTTCTATTTTTTTATAGACATGAGATCTTGCTTTGTTGCCAGGCTTGTCTCAAACCCATGGGTTCAATTGATCCTCCTCCCAAAGTGCTGGGATTACAGACATGAGCCACTGCACCTGGCCAGGAATTCTATATTGATAAATCATAAAGAGCATTTGGTTCTCTTTCCTATTCTGAGTAAAATGAAATTCTGATCACCATGCCATTTGATGTGTATGATGTATTTATATCCTAGAGAATATGGTAGGAAAGAAAAGAATCCTCTGAAATAACAGTAGCGTGCTTTCATATTGAGCTCAAAAATTTTAAAATTGGTGTTTCTCTTAAAAGGTTATGAACTAAATTTTAATATGTTTGATGTTTGCAATTCCTCCTCTGGTCTACCAGAATTATTGACTGTTACACAGTAGCAAGAGAGGCTCAAGAGACCACTGCATCATGTTACTCGTCTGATAAGGTATAGAATATGTAATGATCTACAAATAATTTCTCACACACACAAACACATTCAATTTCTCTTTTTAAAACTTAGAAACTATTGACAAGAACATGGACCATGGAAACCATTCCTCAGTGACTGAGTTCATTCTGGCTGGGCTCTCAGAACAGCCAGAGCTCCAGCTTCCCCTCTTCCTCCTGTTCTTAGGAATCTACATGGTCACAGTGGTGGGCAACCTGGGCATGACCACACTGATCGGGCTCAGTTCTCACCTGCACACCCCCATGTACTATTTCCTTAGCAGTCTGTCCTTCATTGATCTCTGCCATTCCACTGTCATTACCCCAAAAATGCTGGTGAACTTTGTGACAGACAAGAACATCATCTCCTACCCTGAATGCATGACTCAGCTCTATTTCTTCCTCATTTTTGCTATTGCAGAGTGTCACATGTTGGCTGTAATGGCGTATGACCGCTACATTGCCATCTGTAGCCCCTTGCTGTACAATGTCATCATGTCCTATCACTTCTGCTTCCGGCTCACAGTGGGAGTTTACATTTTAGGCATCCTTGGATCTACAATTCACACCAGCTCTATGTTGAGACTCTTTCTGTGCAAAACTAATGTGATTAACCATTATTTTTGTGATCTCTTCCCTCTCTTGGAACTCTCCTGCTCCAGTACCTACATCAATGAATTACTAGTTCTGGTCTTGAGTGCATTGAACATCCTGACGCCTGCCTTAACTATCCTGGCCTCTTATATCTTCATCATTGCCAGTATCCTCCACATTCGCTCCACTGAGGGCAGGTCCAAAGCCTTCAGCACTTGCAGCTCCCACATCTCAGCTGTTGCTGTCTTCTTTGGATCTGCAGCATTCATGTACCTGCAGCCATCATCTGTCAGTTCCATGGACCAGGGGAAAGTGTCATCTGTGTTTTACACAACTGTTGTGCCCATGCTGAACCCCTTGATCTACAGCCTAAGAAATAAGGATGTCAAATATGCCATGAAGAAAATTCTGGACAGCAAAGCATGTTCATGAAAAGAATTAGTGTCATGTTGTCATATCAAAATTGGCCTTCATTTTGATTATACATGTAATATGTTAGATTTATTGTTCAGATTTATCAAAATACAGTGATGCTCTTTTATGTAAAACATTTCCAAAATATTCCTCCAGTTTACTTCCATTGAACTTATATTCCAGTGAGTACGCATGGAGAAATACTAAAAGTAAAATCAAAATTCTTGAGGTTTAGAGAATCCCTGCTTTTATTATTTCATTAATAATAAAAAGAACAACTCAAATGATTATAACACCATAAAGATGATAATGAAGATGACAGTAGTGACATATATCATTCAGATTTGATGAAATAGCAAGCACTGTGTCCATCACTTAAGTAGATGATTTTATTTAATATTTACAGTATTCCTTCGGGGAAATCTGTAGTACTATTTCCCGTTAAGCAAATAAAGCTTATTTTTTGAGTGAATGCTCAGAGACCCAAACCTAAGAAGTCATTGAAAGTAGAAAGTTTGGCTCAAGGACTTCTGATATTATTCAAAGTGATAACCATCATTGTGGATAGGTATAAGGACTCCTGAGAAATTCCTTCTAAGCATTAAGATTCCTCAGTCCTAACATGACTATGTCACTGTCCTCTGGATAGCTCTAGGATAATTTACTTTTATTTCATTTGCCATAATGAACATAATCAAAGTCTTCCAAATTTGTAATGATCAACAAAAAAACAGATCAAAACTAAAAAATTATTATAGCCTTATTATAGACATGCATTATAGATATTCATATTATTATACTTAATAGCAACAATTTTCTATAAAAGCAGCCCAAACAATATTGCTTTATTTTTATGTCATAAACATAAAAATAGCTGTGGCTGCTTATGTGGAAACTTACGACAGCCATAAATTCTGCTAAGTTGCATTGCTTCCATGTGGTTCATACTCTTTTGCCTTATAATTTACAGTTGTCATTTTATGTCAATTTTCTTTAAAGAAATGTCTACTTGGCTCCCAGGTTATTATCTTTCTGCTTCTCAGAATTTAATATCTTCTAAGTGTGAATTTTCATGATATTCCAAATAATTACCTTGTGTCTCTCCTCAGTTCAAACCATCCTATTCATTATTGGCAGGTCAATAGTCTTTGGATGCTGTTTTGCATTATTCAGCTGATATAAGACATTTCAATGTTCACTATAGTTCCTAAGTATAGGACAAACCTATGTATTTTTATCTCCCCTGTATTCCATTATTCATTGCAATCAGACATTCATTTTTCAGAGTCCTCTCACAGTGATTATTTCACTTGATTTTCATCATTTATATAATGTAAGGGAAGATGGCCACAATTATATTTGTCTTAGGTGTGATTCTGAGTCCACTGCTCTGTCTAACACATTGTCATATATGCAAATAAGTGAAATAAGGGCTAATAGAAAGAGTTGTGTTGCATAGACCCTTGAATCACTGGGGATTGAGCTCATATAGGAAATATGGACTAATTAAAAAGTGGCAGTCTCATCAAGGAAATGGAAGAAGCTTGTGCAACCCCAGAAGGTCATGTAATATTCAGGGTAATACAGTTATGCTACAAGGATAAAAGAGCAGGCAGAAACAGTCCTTGAACCAACCCTGGTCATTATAAAACATCACTCCTTACTTTAGTGAGAGGAACTACTCAAAGCTTTTAAGCAGGAAAGTAACACAATTAATTTTGCATGCTAATAATGTCACATATGTCAGTGTGGAAGGATGGACATGAATGAAAAAATTAGACTATGGGGGAAATGCCTAATGTAACTGTGTCTTTTCTCAAAAACTTGCTTTTCCGAGAAATGGAAATCTTGGGGTTATTTGTCTCTATGTTATTATATCTAAATCTAGGACATAGATTTATAGCACATCCACAGAACTGTCAAATGTGAGGCTATTTGCTACCCTAATGCTGGAGAAACTTAACCTGAAAAGTTATAGTTGTGGAGGCTGACCTGTGATGCAGACCAGCTTCAAATGTGGTTCTGAGACCAGATGGAGAGTTGTGCCCTGTCCTCTCAGCACTGAAAATAGCAGAATACTAGGTACCTACAACTCTCAACACCAACACTGGTTTAATTCTTCTCCAAGTCGAAGACAATAAATTATGAATAAAATTTGGCATTACAGTTTTCAAGCAGAGGAAAGATGAGTGTGTCTGCCCACACTTGTAATTTGAGACTATTAGGTCTGGAATTAATTGTTGTAAAAATTAGTTAAACATTCTGTTTTGTAATTCATTCATTCATAAAATATTCAAAAGTGACTTTGATATTCCAGACACTGTACTGCTACTTTGGATAAAGAGGAAGATAAGTTTGAGTTGGTCTACCTTCTGGCTTATAGTACAGCTCACAGTCTCAAGTTGTACTATTAGAAATTATACTTGGTCTAGCCTAGGCAACATGGAGAAACTGTGTCTCTTAAAAAAAAAATCAGCAAAGCGTGGTGGTGCACACCTGTAGTCCCAGCCCAGCTACTGGGAAGGCTGAGGTGGGAGTGTAGATTTAACCAGGTTCAACCAGGTAGAGGCTGCAATGAGCCATGATGACACTACTGCCCTGCGCTAACCTGGGCAACTGAGTGAGACTATGTATATAAAGGAACAAAAAAAGAAAGAAAGAAAAAGAAAAAAATAAAATAAATTATAAGTGACTTTTTCTGAGCTTGTATTCAGAAGCTCTGATCTGTCTCAACAAATCGGAATTTTTTTCCCAATGGTGTAACTGTTAAATGACACTTAGAAGAAATAAAATTTCACCAGGCAATTGAGGGATAGGATTTAGTTAGACCGTTTAATCTGAAAGAAAGCGTAAATAAAAATTCAGATAGCTAAGATAATATGGCATGTCCCAGAAACTGGAAAGAACCAAATGTGAACTAGGTCTGGAGAATAAAAAGAAGTGGCAGGTATATTCATTCTTTATCTTAAAAAAATGAAGAAGATTTTTTACTTCAGGGTCTCCAAAAGTAGATTTTCCTCTGTTTTATAGAGTGTATTATATAATTTAGAAAAGTTCCTCATTCTATTTCTAAGAACTCAAATTGTTAGAAACTTGCCCGTGTAGCTAATAAAAGATGTAGGTTTCAATGTTCCAAACACCACACATGGAATAAGTTTTCTTCCCTTTTGATTTCCTTTAGATATAAGGCAATGCACGCTATTTATCTTATTACCTTTGAATATTTCCAAGTTATTCACAGCTTCTGTGTCCCTTTCATTTTGCCTATGTACCTCCTTACAAAGGATATTCATAACAAAAAATTTTAAATATAATGTAAGCGTAGCTCAGTGCTTCCCACTTCATTGCACACATAGAAAATGGTAATATTTCTGTGGCACAAGAACTTAGCACTGTATGTTCCATTCATGGCATTCCAGTTCCATAGAACTCAAGTCAGAAAGAAACGTTACAGTTATGGCTCTTATAAGGATTATTGTCCATCATATTCTAGATATTCTAGATCTGAGCCAAAGCAATCAGGAAAGAGAAAGAAATAAAAGGCATCAAAATAGGAAATGAAGAAGTCAAAATATCTTTCTTTGCTGATATGATTCTATACCTAGAAAATCCTAAAGAATCTGCTAAAAGCTTCCTAGAATTGATAAACAACTTCAGTAAATTACAGAATACAAAATCAATGTAAAAAATAAATAGCATTTTTATACAGTAACAATGTCCAGGCTGAGAGCGAATCAGGAGCAGAATCTCATTTACAATAGGCACAAAGAAAATGAAATACCTAGAAATAGAGCTAACCAAGGAGGTAAAAGATCTCTACAAAGAGAACTACAAGACACTGCTGAAAGAAATCAGAAATGCTACAAATAAATGGAAAAATTTTCCATGCTCATGTATTGGAAAAATTAATATAATAAAAATGACCATAATGTCCAAAACAATTTATATATTCAATACTACTCCTATCAAATTACCAATAATATTCTTCATAGAATTACAAGAAAACATTCTAAAATTCATATGGAACCAAAAAAGATCCGAAATAGCCAAAGCATTCCTAAGCAAAAAGTATAATGCTAAAGGCATCACACTACCCTCTTCAAACTATGCTATAAAGCCACAGTAATCATAAGAACTTGGTAATGGTACAAAAACAGACACATAGACAAGTGGAACAGAATAGAAAACTGAGAAACAATGCCACAAACCTACAACTATCTGATCTCCAACAATGCCAATAGAAACAAGCAATGGAAAAAGGACCACCTATTTAATAAATGGTTCTGGGATACCTGGCTCGCCAGATGCAGAAGATTAAAGCTGGACCTCTACCTGTCACTATATGCAAAAATTAACTTGAAATGGATCAAAGATTTAAAGATAGGACCTCAAAGAATAAAAATATTGGAAGACAACCTAGAAGACACTCTTCTCAACATAAGTCATGACAATGAGTTCTTGTCTAGGTCCCCAAAAGCAATTGCAACAAAAACAAAAATAGACAAGTGGGACACTCATAGGCTCAAAGAAAAAGCATGGGAGAAGATAATTTGCAAATTAAGTATCCAACAAAGGCTGAATATCCAGAATCTATAGGTAGCTTAAATAAATTGACAAGCAAAAAACAAATAACCTCATTAAAAATAGGCAAAGGACATTAACAAACACTTCCCAAAACATTTAAGCCACCAACAAACATGAAAAAATGTTCAGCATCATGATTCATGAGAGAAACACAAATGAAAACCACAATGATGTACTATCTCATACTAGTCAGAATGACTATTAATAGAGTCAGAAAACAACAGATGCTGGCAAGACTGTGGATAAAATGAAATACTTATACCCTTTTTCTGGGAATGCAAATTAGTTATTACCATTCAACCCAGCACTGGACATATGCCCAAAGGAATATAAATTATGCTACCATAAAGACACAAACACTCACAATTTATTTATTCAGTCATCTACTGAAGAACATCTTGATTGCTTCCAAGTGTGGGCAATTATGGAGGAGCCTCTATAAACATATATTATCAGGTTTTGGTGTGGACATAAGTTTTCAACTCCTTTTGGTAAATACCAAGGAGTGTTTTTACTGGATCATATGATGAATTTGTTTAGTTTTGTCAGCAGCTGCCAAACTGCCTTCCAAAGTGGCTGTACTTTTTTGCATTCCCACAAGCAATGAATGAGTATTCATGTCTCCTCATATTCTTCCCAGCATTTGGTGTTGTCAGTGTTCTGGATTTTTGCCATTCTAGTAGATGTATACAATATTTCATTGTTGCTTTTATTTGCATTTCTCTGATGACATATGATGTGGAACATTTTTCAAATGCTTATTTGTTGTCGGTATATTTTCTTTGGTGGAGTATCAGCTAAGGTATTTGGGCCTTTTAAGATCAAGTTTGTTTTTTTATATTATTGAGTTTTAAGACTTCTTTGTGTATTTTGAATAAAAATAGTCCTTTGTTATATGTGACTTTTACCAATATTTGCTTTCAATCTTTGGCTCGTATTTTTATTCTGTTGACAACGTATTTTGCAGACCTGAAATTTTAGTGTTAAGGAAGGGCAGATTAACAATTCTTTTTTATGAATCATGAATTTCATGTTTTATCTAGAAAGCCATCACTAAATCCAAGGTTATCTAGATTTTTTTGTGTTTTTTATAGGTATTTTTAGTTTTGCATTTAATATATTTAGGTCTGGAATCATTTTGGGTTAATTTTTGTGAGTGTAAATTTTGTCTAGATTTTATTTTATTTTACTTATCTATTTTTTTGAGACAAAACCTCACTCTCTCGCTGCAACCTCCACTTCCTAAGTTCAAGCGATTTTCGTGCCTCAGCCTCCTGAGTAGCTAGGATTAAGGTGCCCACAACCATGACTGACTAATTTTTGTATTTTTAGTAGAGATAGGGCTTCACCATGTTGGCCAGGCTGGTCTCGAACTCCTGACCTCAGTTGACCCACCAGCCTTGGCCTCCCGAAGTGCTGGGATTAGAGGCATGAGCCACCATGCCAGCCTTTTTTTTTTTTTTTTTTTGAGATGGAGTCTCTTGCTTTGTTGCCCAGGCTGAAGTGCAGTGGCAGGATCTCAGCTCACTGTAACGTCTGCCTCCCAGGTTCAAGCAGTTCTCCGGCCTCAGTCTCCTGAGTAGCTGGTTCTACCCTCACATGCCATCAGCCCCACCAATTTTTTGTATTTTCAAAAACGGGGTTTCACCATGTTAGCCAGGATGGTCTCAATCTCCTGAACTCATGATCTGTCTGCCTCAGCCTCCCAAAGTGCTGAAATTGCAGGCGTGAGTCACGGCGCCCAACCTAGATACTATTTTTCTACATGTGAATACCCAGTTATAGCACAATTTGTTTAAAAAGCTTTCTTTTTGCTATTTTATGTTGTCTTTGTTCATCTGTCAAAGATCAGAATCTTTGTGGATGTATTTCTGGACTCTATGTTCTGTTGTGTTAATCTATATGCCTGCTACTTTTATGAATTACAAATTGTTTTCATGACTGTAACTTTAAAGTAAATCTTGAAGTTAGGTAGTATGAGTCCTTCAACTTCATTCTTTTCCTTAACGTTGTGTTGGCTATCCTGAACAGATGTTCAGTTTCATTTTTGTGTCCCCTTTAATTTGCAGAGAGTGGCTATGGACATCCAGTGGGTAGTAACCACACACACACACGCACACAAAGATACATTTTCTGGAAGAACACGTACATAAAAATTAATCAATTGCTAATTATTTATTAAATACTGTCTTAAATGGTGATGCTAATTGTAGATATCTATGAATTCCCGGAAAGGTTTATGCAATTAAAGTACAGGTGTTGAAATGTCACCAGAGGCAAAAACATAAACATGTAAGAGACAGGCACAAAAAGAAGCATGAATCCTTGAGGTCAGAGTTGGAGTCCATTCTCCAAGCAAGCACACTAGGAAGAGATGTAATATTTTCTTTTTCACAGCATCTCACTATTATTATCTGATTTGAGGTAGCAAATGGGGTTAACTTTAATTGCTCCCTCATTGCCACCAGTGACTAAATCATGAGAAATGCCCAACGGTATCTGAAGAAATAATCCAGGGAGAATGCATGTGTTCAAGTCTTGATAGTGTACCCCCTTGGGAACTCCTTATATAAACACCAAATTTCAGTTCCTGAGGCCGAGATACTACACTCTTCTGGAAACCTGAGAGTGTTTCCAGGTTATTATTTTACAATAGGGCAGAAAATTCCACATGGTCGATATGGACAGCATGAGTGTTCAGAGGTACTACAGTTTCAGATTTTGTATTTAAATTTATGATTCATTTAAGTATGTTTTTGTATGAGGTGTTAGGTATGGGTCTGGGATCACTGGATTTGGTTTTGGTTTTGTTTTATTGTATGAACAGCCAATTGTTTCAGAATTATTTGATATTTGTTGAAAAGACCATTTTTCTCTATTTACTTGCCTTTACACAATTTTTCAAAAATCAGTTGACCATATATGTATGATTCTGTTCTCAGGTTCTCTGCTCTGTTCTATTGCTCTACGAGTTTCTTCATCTATGCCACATGGTCTTGATTTAACAAAGAATTATAGTAAGTTTTAAAATCTGGTATTATGAGCCCTCAAACTATGTTGCTTCTCAAAAGTGTTTGTCTATTACAATTATTTTTCTTTACATATACACTGTAGGTCATTTTCTTAACATCTAAAAAAATTCTGTTGGAATTCAGATTGAGATTGAATTTATGATACAGTTTAGGAAGAACTGGTTTCTTAACAATATTGGTCTTCCAATCCATGAACACAGTTCATTTCTCCATTTATATATGTCTTCTTTGATTGCTTTCATTAACGTTTTATTTTCAATATACTGATCTTGTGCATATTTTACTAGACTCAAAACTGTATCTTGGTGCTGTTATAAATGATACTATTTGTTTTACTTTTGATTTGCAATTTTTGGTTGTTAACATATGGAAATATATGTTTGTATATTGAGTTATCTACTGACTTTGCTAAATTCCCTTACTAGTTCTAGAAGCTTTTATTGTAGATTCTTTGGGATTTATTATGGAGATAAACATATTGCATGTAAATAGAAAAAGTTTCATTTTTTACTTTATATTCTCTCTAACTGGGAGTTAGAACTCCCAGTATGATGTTAAATGTTTCTATATTTCAGTTTTAAAAGTTTTCTCTGCTTCATTTTTTTATAGCTTATATTTGTTTGCTGAGAACATCTATTCTTCCATTTATTTTAAATTTGTTTATTTATAACTTATAGACTATAGTCATAATAGATGTTTTAATATTTTTGATATTTCTAATATCTGGGTAATCTCAGGGTTAATATCTGTTGATCGTCTCTTCTGTTGAGAGTTGATTACATTTTGTTGATTTTTGTATATGCTAAATAATTTCAGATTTCATTCTGGACACTTTTCATGTTAGGCTATTTAGACTCACGATCCTATTAAAATTATCTGGAAAATACTGATTTTTGCTTGCTTTTTTGTTTATCTTAACACATTGTCAATCCATAGCATCAGACAAGTAGTCCTCTTGCCTTCCATGGGCAATGTTTCCAATGTCAGTTCAATTTTCAAAGCCTTTAATATGCTGCATTGTGTTTGTCCTTCAAACGTACCACTCAGAAGTTAGTATGAGATTTTGCCATTCAGAGGTCAGTCTAAGACCTAGGCGGTGTTTAAAATTGTAGTTTAGTTTTCCAAGCCTTTGTGATACTTCCTTGGGTCTGCTCCACAAATGTACAGCTTAGGAGTGAGCTCTGGCTTTGTTTCTTTCCCCAGCTCTCTTATGTGAAAAAATATACACCAAACTCTCCTCTTGACCCCTTTACACAAACAGCACACACCTCTGCACATGCGTGCACGCGCACGCGCACACACACACACACACACACGCTTCTCCATGTTGGCATCCTCTGTTCAGAAAGCAAATTTTATCTCTGAGTTTTCATTTCTCATGCTATTGCCTCATAGTTTCAAAATTGAGGCTACTCTTGCAACACAGCTAGAATTAAAAATAGAGAGAGAGACAATACAGGAATTCCCTCACATGCTTTGCCCAGAGAGGCCTCTATTATCAGTGAAAAACATGGGTCATCTATTGGCGTTTTCAGCATGCTGAGCAGCCCCCACACAGATCTGTAACTTTGGTCCCCCCCATTCAAAACTACAAGATTAGAGGAGAAATGTAGTAAAAACTCATATTTGTAGGGGTTTCTCCTCTAGGTTTTGTTTCCTCTTTCCCATCTGCCTCTGTCTGTTTGCTTTTCAGAGTTCTTATGCAAATAACTTTTGTGATTTTATACAGAGTTTTAAGTGTATTCTGTGATAAAGAGGCGTGGTGACCTTAATCCAACTTGGCCAAACCCAAAAGTTAAAGGTTACAGTCAAGAATTTTTACCATCCTTGTATATTTATGTAAATCTGCCCTTACATAAGAAGGCTGACTGTGGAATGTTAAAGCATGAAACCAGCACGTCCATCAAACTGCTTCTTTGTTTAGCGTCAGTGTTTTTACTTTGCAAATCTGTGTTCTTTTTTGAAGGTCAACACGCTGGCAAAGATGAGGAATCTCTCTGTGGTGACTGAATTCATCCTGCTCGGCATCCCACACACAGAGGATCTGGAGACTATGCTCTTGGTCCTGTTTTTGTCCTTTTACATCTTTACCCTTACGGGGAACCTGCTCATTCTGCTGGCTATTGTCTCCTCCACTCAGCTTCACACACCCATGTACTTCTTCCTGTGCAAGTTGTCTATATTTGACATATTTTTCCCTTCTGTGAGTTCCCCCAAGATGCTGTGCTATCTTTCAGGAAACAGCCGAGCCATCTCCTATGCAGGCTGTGCATCCCAGCTCTTCTACCATTTCCTGGGCTGCACTGAGTGTTTCCTGTACACGGTGATGACCTACGACCGCTTTGTTGCCATTTGTCACCCTCTACACTACACAATAATCATGAGCCCCAGAGCCTGCGTCATCCTAGCCATGGGGACCTCATTCTTCGGCTGCATTCAGGCCACCTTTCTAACCACTCTCACCTTTCAATTGCCTTACTGTGGCCCCAATAAGGTGGGCTATTATTTCTGTGATATCCCAGTCATGCTGAAGCTGGCTTGTGCAGATACGTCAGCCCTGGAGATGGTGGGGTTCATCAGTGTGGGCCTCATGCCCCTCAGCTGTTTCCTTCTCATCCTCACCTCCTATAGCTGCATCATTTGCTCCATCCTGCAGATAGGCTCTGCCAAGGGCAGACACCGTGCCTTCTCCACCTGCAGTGCCCACCTCACTGCCATCCTCCTCTCCTTTATGCCAGTGGTTCTCATCTACCTGCAGCCCACCCCCAATCCCTGGCTTAATGCAACTGTTCAAATCCTGAATAACTTGGTCACTCCTATGCTGAATCCTTTGATCTATAGTCTGAGAAATAAGGAAGTTGAATATTCTCTGAGAAAGGTTCTGCAGCCAATAGCTTTTCTTCCTGGGACTTGATAGAGAAGGATCCACAGCTTAACACTAATAACACCACAATACTTACCAAAGGCGTTTTCTTTTGTGCAATAAGGAGCACAGATATCACCACTGTCTTCTTTTTACAGGTTCAAAAGCAAACACTTGAAGGCATAAAATGAATGACTCAAGGTAAAGTAATACATTTTCTTGCCTGGGAAAAATCATTTCTTCCTGCTTGGCAAGATATTCTGGAACTTCTCTTCAATTGTCTCTTTTATTTTCCTGCTCTTACATCTTCTCCTTCTCTCCTCTTTCTCCTTATTCTAGTACTTTTTCATCTTCACTGGCATGTTTATCTAATTAACCCCTTAAATGTCAGTGCTGATTAAATAAACCCGTCTTTGAAAATCTAGAAGTTGCTGAAAAATGAAAGAGGTTCAACTCCGTGGAGGTGGTATCCCACAACTTCTAAAGCATAAAGAAGTTGTATAAAATAAAAGAATTTCTGGATACAGTGTAAGGCAGGTCTCTTATGGATGAATCTGAGGCACTAGTGCACTCTGTCACCTATAAAGCCTGTTGGTCTTAGACCTATCAACAGGCCTTGGCCTGATGCTGAAGCAGTAGATGAAAGAGAATGTGGAAAGGGTAGATTAAAAAATGTCTCTGAGGGGTCACTGGTTCTGTTGTTTTTTAGTATTAGGAAATTTAAGTTTGGCTGTGTAATCCCCAGCACAGACATGGGACATTGCGAAGTCCAACCAAGCTGCTGTTTTATGATTTTGGATACTCTGTTTACACAAAGACTTTGACTTTAGTTTTCTCCCACTTAAATGTCTTTGTTCTTCTTCCTAGTGAGCTTAGCATAACAAATGTGCTATTACAATTCAGACCTCAATTTGATGGGAAGAAGAGCAGTGAGATTCCCTGAGAAAGGGTGATGGGAAAGTAGGTGACTATGGGAAGAAAAGGGGGTGCTGGGAAGGGAAAGGCAGAGGCAAGTGTTCCTTCGTTTTGACTCTCTTCAGGATCTGAGGTCAGTCAAGGAATCTGCTAGATTGAATCAGACACATTTGTTTGGACCTCGTATGAGGGCGGTGAGCAGGTGCAGGGTTTTGAAGGGAGCACACTGCTCACTTTTCTTAAGTTCCGTGCCTTTTCTTCTCCCCACCTGCAGTGCTCTTTCAAGTCTTCAGCTGGACAAACTCATTCTAATCATTCGGCATCCAATTTAAATACCATTTTCCATGCAAAATCTTTATCTCAAACAGTCAGAGTCCCCACTTTTCTATGTTTTAAATCAGACTTGACAATGTCATCACTCCATTGTGTCAGAACATGTTTTGGCAAAGCATTTTCCAAAAGCAAAAGTCAGGTTGGTTCATGGAGGGTGAGGACAAAAAAGGGCCAGATGGGGACTGACAATGCAAAATTGACAGCTCATTTGTTTAGCAGATGTAGGTCTGAATCCCAGATTATTTTTTGTTGTGGTTGGTGAAGCAGATATTCAGTCTTCTCATATCTGTTAGTAAGCAGCTCGAGTACTGAGAGCATATTCTTTTTTTAATCTTTAAATCAGACCATATGAGTTTCATATGGAAATGTACAGAACCTAGAAGAGTCAAAACAACTTTGAAGAATAAAATTAAAATTAGAGTACTAACATAATCTGATTGACTTATGATACTTTTTCAAAAATAGAAATTAAATTTACTTGTTTCTTTATATAAATATATATTTTAAGTTCTGGGGTACATTCTTCTTCTAGGCTTTTGGATAAGAATTCAGTGATAGTCACAGTCCTTGTCTTTTAAAGAGCTTTTATCAAATGAGGAAACCTAATAGCAGTCATATTTTGTATTTGTTCAAAAAATATTTATGGAGCTGTCATTTAGGCAAAGTGCAAAACAGGTAGGCAGGGAAATAGGGCGCCAAATAGCAAAATGTAGAAGTGAACTAATGCACACATTCAATAGATACTGAGGATATCAAGGCCCTCTGTCTAATCCTTCCTTCTCCTAGTTACTTAAAGTTTGGCCAAAAAGAAAATGAGTTGTCGAGGTGAGGAAATCTTCATTAAGAGAACTTTAAGTCATCATTACTTACTAAGCACCATACTAAGCAGGGAGCTTAGCTAGTAGAAGAAGGAATTCATCTGTCTTGAGTTGTGAGCCTCATTTTCTTCCCTCACAACATGGAAATAGTAATAACTTTCTTTCATTGCTGTCGTAAAGATTGAATGATGCAAAAGCAAAATACTCATCTGGTTTAATGTAGGTACTCCGACATCTTGGTAATTACAATATCTTTTGTATTTTCAAGAATTTTTTTAGCTTATACCCTCACTTCATTCTCGTCTTTAATGCTCAAATGTTACAACCACAGAAAAAACTTCTACACTTATGCTATTCAAATATCTCCCTTTCATCACACTTTTCTTATTTATCTTGCTACATGTATATATTTTTAACTTTCATTTTAAGTTGAATTTTCTCTGCTTCATGTTTTACAGTTTATATTTGTCTCCTGAGAACTTCTATTCTTCCGTTTATTTAAATGCTCCTTATGGAGCATAGTCATAATAGATGTTTTAGCATTTTTCATAATTCTAATGTCTGGGTAATCTCAGGGTTGGTATTTGTTGATCATCTCTTCTGTTGAGAATTCGTTGCATTTTCTTGGTAAATAATTTCAGATTTCATTCTGGACACTTTTCATGTTAGGCTATTTAGACTCTAGATCCTGTTAAAATTATCTGGGGAATATTGATTGTTGTTTGCTTCTTTGTTTGTTTGAACACACTGTCAATCCGTAGCATCAGAGAAGTAGTTCCTCTTGCCTTCCATGGGCAATGTTTCCATTGTCGGTTCAATTTTCAAAGCCTTTAATATGCTGCATTGTGTTTGTCCTTCAAATGTACCACTCAGAAGTTAGTATGAGATTTCGCCATTAACAGGTCGGTCTAAGACCTCAGTAGTGTTTAAAATTGCAGTTTAGTTTTCCAAGCCTTTGTGATACTTCCTTGGGTCTGCTCCACATATGCATAGCTTAGGAGTGAGCTCTGACTTCGTTTCTTTCCCCAGCTCTCTTATCTAAAGAAATATACACTAACATCTCCCTCCCGACCCCTTTATGCACACACACATACACACTGACTCATCCATTTATTATTATAAACTGGGGTTAATAATGGAAATATAAGATTCATTTCACATTTAAAAGTCAATCAGTGTAATTCACCAATAAACAAGATAAAAAAGAAAAACCTATGTGCATTCTTTTTTTTCCCCCTCCTATCATGCTTATATTGCTGCTTTGTGATTTCTCAGTGTAGGCATCATCTTTTGGCTTTGCACCATGAAAGATGAGGATTTAGCTCTGCCATCAGCACCTACTCCACGTGCAACATACAAATACACCCTCCCCCTTTTCTCCTATCTAATATAGATGTAACTCAGTTTCAGCTAGAGCAGTATTTTTACAGCTGGTAATCTAGTACACTAGGTTTGTTACTTTTCTCACACATTATTTTGTTTGTTTTTTATTGCATTTTAGGTTTTGGGGTACATGTGCAGAACATGCAAGATAGTTGCACAGTGTGCATTCTTAATAAAAACTCAGAAAATTCAGAATAGTGGAGCACTTTCTCAATCTGTAAAAATGCATCTACTAAGATTGATTGCTAACATCCTGCTAAGTGGTAAAACACTGAATGTTTCCTCCATCCGTTTTTGATCTTTCATCTCTCATTTCTAAATTCATCCTTTTTGCAGGCTCTGTAACAGTGAAGCTGAGCATTATAAAATAGTTTTTCTTTGCCCTCAGATGACGTGTTATGTGTTGTCAATCAGGGTGCTGAAGGGACACCAAAGGAGAAAAACGTTTTGTCCTCCTGTTTAAGGCTTGTCTCTTGCCCAGATCCTATAGAGCATATTTTCTTTTGTCTCCAGTGTAGGGCCTCTCATGGTTTCTTTAGTGCTAGGCTTGTGTGGGCTGGAAATCTCTCCAGCAGTTGGCCACCACTCTTTTTTTTTTTCAGCACTAAACTGAGGCAGTGGTGGCATCGTGTTGCCAGAAGCCTTGGAAGAAAACTGCAACCCAACTGAAATCACTGTTCATCACACCCTCTCCCTATCAGAGCACATGCATGTACCCTGGGGGTGGTCCCACAGGGCAATTAATGTAGCAAGCTAGGTGCACAGTTTTGATCTGATTCAGCCAACCTGCTGCCTCAGCCCAGGATGGACAGTTTCACCATTTAGATCACTAAACCTTGCTAATTGTACAGCATTAGGTAGACAGATTGAAGACCAGTCTCTTAGATTGTTGCGGGAAGCAGCAAAGGAGAAAGGACTTACTGAGTGCGTACGTAAACTGGTAATGAGTAACATATAAACAAGGAACAGCAAACTGCGGAAGGCCGCAGGAGGCGTCTGAGGAAGAAGGCCTCTGCATGCCTCATGTTGCAATGCATGGCGGCCTCGACTCCATTACCGTAAACATTGAGCTCAAGGATGTAAAACCCCTTCATAGCACTATGACGTGGCCAGACTTGTAGACTCCTTGTAAGGCCCGCGTTCCACCGTCGGCACATAGATGCAGACTAAAGATAACCTCATGTTCTTGTTTTGTGAAACTCCCAAAGTGCCACTGTTAACAGTCTTTAAAATGATGCACCAGTTCCGGTTCACTGATTCGGTTCCAGCTCACTGATTCACTCCACCATCACCCTCTTCCCACCATCACTCCACCCCTTCCCTGTAGATCAAAGTGATTGTAATCAACAAATAGTGTGAGAGACCAGAACTCGGAGCCTTCACTGTCTCCTCCAGTAATAAGTGATGCCCCCTGGTCCCACTCTTTGCACTCTTAATCTTTTTCTCATTCCTTTGCCGCCCCCGAACTTGAGGTACCCACAGGTGATGTGGGGGCTGGTTCCCTACTAATCCAAATTAAATGTACACATGCCTTAGAAATTATGTTTCATATAGAAAATATAAATTATCAATTACTACACAAGTAATATACACTTAAGTATA